TCTCTGAATAACTGAGAGTAAACAGAATGAGTAATTTTGTAATCCTGCCATAGTATAAATTAAATTAATAAGGAAATAGTGTCCAAAAGGCCAATTAACAAGAAAATGCTTTTATTGATAGAAAAGCAAAACAAATTTTCCATGAATTCTAATGTTTTATTCCGTCTGTTGGATATATCCGAGTTCAAAAATCACTTTCTCTGTTGGCGTTGTCATTGTTGCTGTTGGTGTTGTTAATCTCTCTATAGAAACAATGAAATCACAAGTATCAGGGAAATAGCCCTGCCTCAACCAGGTGGGACCACTTTGATAAGTCACTGTCCCACAATTAACGTGAATTAAATTTTTATTCTCAGCTAAGTGGTCCTTGGTACCAACTGTGTTTATTAGATGGGTGACATCAATAAGTACTGATGTCAAGCCATAGAAATTGTTTCTCAAATGTTACCAAATAAATATAAAATAAAAACAAATCCAAATCAGATGTACACTCAATCTAATGAGTAAATACCCTTCCTACAGATAGGGCAGTTTATTCTAATGTGAACTGAAACATCCATGAACCACAATAACTAGTTCCAATGGAAGATGGCCCAGATAAGTGACTTTTCAGATTCAGATTCAAAGTCCAGATTCACTTGGGAAAGGACCTGAGGTTATAATTTAATCTGAAACTTGCAAGTAGTATTAGCTAGCAGTTGCCCAACTGTCACCCACAGAAAAGTGCTTAAAGTGTATGTCTGTACAATGAAAAAGAAAATTGAATTTTAACCATTATGTAATTCAATTTATAGAGATAGAAATGATGAAAAAGTCAGATGCCAAAGAAGTTTTGTTAAACCTAATTTATCCATATTTTCCAAAAAACTACTTATCAAACTAAACATATAATAGTCATATTTCCACTTTATATTACTTATGCAGATGTAAGTTGTATCTCCACACAACATACAGGTTAAAAATGAAAAACCTAGCCACAATCCAGGTTTTTGGTCTAGATGGCTCTAAACCTCTTCTGGATATTTTTGCTTTCTATCTAGATATTTGGACCACATAGACATGGTCACAACTCTAATATCATTGCTACATTTGAGTCATTAACCTAGAAAAGGAAGCTTATCTAATTACCAATTCCTCGAGCCAACCAGGACTCTCTCCTTTTATTAAATAAAGAGAAAGTCATTCAGATTTGATCCCAGAAAATAAGTGCATGCATATACCTGACTTCTCAGTATCCTCACTGGATAAGAGGATGGAACAACTATTTGGTTTCCATCTCATTCTTGTAATGGCAGAAAAGAGAATACAAAAAGTCGATTGTAAATTTGTACAAAATGTATGCATATATAAATACATATCTATGGGTGTATATAAATTCTAAAGAAGACTATATCCATCTTCATCTTCAAGATACACAGCCCCATACAGTTGACATAATTGCATTCTTTCTCCAATTTTCTCATTTTTAAAAACAATAGGAATCAAGCATGCCACCTTATTAATACGGAGTAGCAAGTGCAGAAGTCGAGCTGTAGCTGTAGGGGTTTGAAGCAATTAGTTTGACGGGACATCAGTGGATAAAATCCCTAAAGTAAATTTAGCTGTTTCTAGATTGCCTTTTGTTTCATATAAATGAAAACCAAAATGCCCTGTTGGTAGCATCCCAAACTCCTGAGACTGTCAACTGAGCTCTATCAGAAGCAGTGCTTTAAACATGGTCTGTGCAAATTTCTTGTATATGTGCTTATTGGAATAATTTTGTGTGTGGACTGGTATTACTAGAATTCCATGTAATTCTCTATCTCATAAAAAAAGATCTCAAGTGACACCAATAGAACCCTAGGGTCCTGAGTAAATTTAACTCAGCATGAAATTTGATTCAAAAATCACACCCTCTTTACACAAAAGCACTATTAAAAATATTAAACCACAGTCAATTAATGGAGAAAGGCATATACATTTAAAGGTGCACAATAAAAGTATATCACAGATATGTGTCTCCATGTTTAGAGGTATCAAGATCTTTTTTTACAATATACATAATGCTTTTATTTCTCCTGCTCCTTCAATTCCTTTGGGAAAAAAAATGATACAATTTCATAATTACCCCCCAGAGTCTGCAGGCTCCTCCTTGGAAGGGGATTATTACTACATGCCTTGAATGCACTATGATTCATAAGGCAAGAATGTATGAGTAGCTTCAGCACCAAGGAAATGGAATTATCATCCAGCACTGCTCACAACAGAACATCTTATTGCTTTAATAAAATGGGAAATTATTCACTGTAAAAAGTGCACCAAATAAAGGGAAGAAAGTAATATCCATGCACTTAGTGGAGCTCATTGGAAATGGGGAAGCTCCCTGATTCTCTTCAAATTTCAAGTCTAAAAAGCATTCTGTAATAAGATATTAAAGAGCTGGATGAGGGTGAGCTACAGAAGTTAATGAACTTTTTTCTTCACAGTGCCTTAGTCATTCTGATGTACAGTGTAGAGCTGTGATGCACTAAAGGATTCCCTAGTGGCCTGAAGGAGATAATGCACTCGTTTACCCATTACTAGGAAGTGACTAAGGCACTGTAGAGAATCTGGTTCGTTGCTTAATATATTGTACCCGAGATTATACCTGGTCTTCCTAATATCACAACATGGTATGCTTAAATGTTGATTCTCTGTGCTCCAGGAAAGAACTTGGGCAAAAATCCAATGAGTGATTAAAATTAAGGTTATTAGAGTATTTTATAAAGATTCTGACTACACTTGGGCAATTTAGTAGATGACCTAAAATCTCAGAGGTAATTATTTCTCTGGATAAGAGCACATATGCCTGAAACCAAGACAGAATGTCTAGAACAATTACTTACTTGGGAGAGGGATGTACTTAGGGGCACTGCTGCCTTACACTATGCAGGTTAGTAAGGACTCTTCTGGTTGAGCTTTTTGTAGATCATTCTCATCCATACATTTTCCAGACTTTTGAATAGCTAAGAATTGGTTTCCCAAAAGAAGGGCTGCCATTGCATATAATTAAGACTATAATATGCTTCTGTCTGCTTCCATCATCAATCCAAGGGAAAGAAAGTGGTAAAGAACCATAAGCGTACTCCATTTCTAACATAGAGGGCCTTGTCCAGCATTAGGAGAGAGAATATTCGTCTTCTTCTCCCACTTTTTTTCCTCAATATTATGTATTCAGAGAAGTTAGCTAAGCCAGCCTCAGAAAGAGAAAGAGACCTCCTCCTCTAATGCATCACAGTAGCAGACGCAGATTCCTAACTAAACAAGCTGCAAACATTTTATCCTACAGGTAGTTACTGGATTTAACTTCTCTTGAAATTTGCATGTCCTGTCATCCAAATTGCCCAGTATCCCCACCAATCTCACCCCCAAACACATACAGTACAAGCAAGCACGCACACCACTGCCTCCAGGTGGTAAATGCATGCAGGGAGGACTACAGGCACTGTTTAAATATTAACCATGTTTTAATAGATGGCATTCCTGCACATCCATTATTTGTTTTCTGTTGTGGTGTTTCCATAATTTGCAAAAGAAAACATATGTGTCATCTTTTCATAACAGTCTACTACAGGATAAGGTACAAAACAACACTTCTAGAAACAGCAGAAGCCATGTCTGCACCACCGAATTCCTCATCCAGTGGTAGCCATTATTATCAACAGCCAGAAATTAAGAACAAGAATATACAGTTTGGAGGACATAGTACAGAACTGTAGTTTGATTCAGTATTTAGTACCAATAGAATAAATATATAACAAAGGTATACTTGTTCTAAAAATAAAGCAGAAACATTCTGGTTGGTTAGATACTGCACTTCCAGTACTGCACATCATCTAATACTTTTTTTCTTTTTTACAAAAAAGGTAACTTTTGCGATGTTTAATAATAAGAAAATCAATAGTACACGCAAATCTAGTTGTAGAAAACGAAGAAACCAACCCAAAGCTAGAATAGTCACTTTCTAAAACAGCCCCTCCTCCGCCTGCACAACCAGAGGCAGTAACCAGCACGATGAGGCAATTTCAGCACCAGACCTGGCTGGACAGCTCCCTGATCCTCTGCCACAAGTCTCAACGGTGTACAGGTGGGAGCAGGGCAGGGAGTGAAAGCAGATTAGTTTTGTTTTTAACTTATTTAATAATTTTAATGTACTTATGCTCGGCCAGCGAGGGACATTTCTAAAAGTAAATTAAAATGTCCTGTCTTGGAAAAGTGAATGTTAACCAAGGGGTGAGAAGAGGGCTGACTGGAGAGGGGTAACTGTCATAAATGTCTCCTTTTCTGGGTTCACACAAGGATTGAAATATTCTACCTTTAAGCTAGTCTCTATATTTGTTTCGCCGGGTTGTAGAACGGTCTCTGTGGCCTCTTGTAGTCCTGGTGCTTAATGTAGACCTTTCCTTTATGTTATAGCCTGAGCCCGACTGGGGGTGGGAATGGGTAGGAGAAGGACGCTAAAGGAAAAGTGAAAGCTCAGGGGGCAGAGGGGAGGATAGTTAACTGAACCTTAACTTGATAGCTATGTACAACACCACTGGGCCCCTTCCCCTCCCCTCCCTTTGCTCCCTGGGATCAACGCCTTTTACATATTTGGTAGCTTGTGCGGTTTCTCCTCCTTATTGTGTGGGGCAGGGTGGAGAGGGAAGACGCATCCTTCACTGACAATGAGAAATTACGTGATTTGTCATGCGCTTGGATTGTGTTATTAGTATTATAATAATTACTATAAATATTAATAAAGTATTATTATTGGCGTTATTTCTTCTTCCGAGACTTTCCTCGCCCAATATTTACAAATACCGCACAGTGCCTCGGCGGAGGAGAAACAGAGGGGGGCGGAGGGGGGCATCAAGGGAAAGAAGAAAGAGTAAAGAAGGGCCAGGGGAAAGTGGAAAAGGAAGGGAAGAGGAAGGAGGGAAGGAAAAAAAACAAAGACAGCAAAAGAGCCGGAAAGGAGAAAGGGGAGAGGAGCTAAACAATCAGGACAGTACCACCGTTTGCAAAAGGCCCTCTTCAGCTGTGTCCAAACAGGAGGGGGCTGCAGGTGCTCCTTGTGGACTAGGGGCTGGCGGTGGAGGCGGAGGAGGACAGGGACCCGGACACTGGACGCCGGGGGACGAAGAGGAGGAGGAGGAGACGTTGGAGGGGGCGCAGAAGGCAGAGTCCCGGGGCTGCCTATCCAGCCGGGTTTCTTTTCCATGGGTTGGGGCCTGGCTGCCTGCCTGGGGCAGCCCCCCGCCGCCGCGACTGCTGCTGCAGTGATCCCGCTCGTATTCCTCCTGAGCTCTCTGCATCTTCCGCTTCTTCATCCTACGTTTGTGGATGTGGAAGGTGGAGAGCGACAACACGATGAGGCAGAAGATGAGGGTGACCAGGACAATCAGCACCAGCGTGGAAGAGAAGGACTGGAAGAGCTGCTGTCCCACCTGCGTTATGCAGGTGCTGCTACCGCTGCCGCCCGGGGCGCGGGCACTGGAGTTGCCGCTTGCGTTGGGGGAAGCAAAGGTCCGGTTGAGGAGACACGGCGGCAGCGCCAGCCTCAGCTCCTTGGGCGCCCTGGCACTCATCGGCGCTGGGCTGGGAGGGGCCAAGCCCACTAGGCTTCCCCTCTCGGTCACACAGTTACCACCAGCCAAGAAGAGGACGGAGCCCACGCCACCCAAAACTACTACTTGGCACGGGCGGAGGTGCGCGCGCGAGCAAAGGACTGAGGCAGCAACTGCGGTCGAGCAAGCCGGCCAGCGAGCGGCGCCTGGGAGATCTTCTCCGGCCCCGCCTCAAACACGTCTCTGCGCGCACTTTTCCTTCGCCAAGGCACCAGGCTGCAAAGAGAACAGGCTTAGTTAGGATCCCGGGCACTGCTCGGGGGAGTGCGGAGGTCGGGAATGATCAGCTGTCGCTGCAAAGCGGCCCTCTGGGCACACGGCCTCCGACGGTGCTTCCCGGCGTCTCAGCAGCCCGTCCACCCGCCCCCGGCCAAGCACCAGTGCTACCAGCTGCCTGTACGCGCCACTCACGGAAAAGGGGTCTACGCCGGCAACGCCAAGGAGTAGATTACTCAGCAGATAAGGCAGCCTCTCTGGGCCCTCTGCAACTTTCCAATCGCAACAGACGCGGCCGCAGCCTCGGATCGCGGTTCCCACTTCCCCGAGCGCCGGCGCTCCTCTTTCCTGAACCCTCTTCGCGGAAGTCTCCGCCTGGATCCTACTCTTCCTCAGCACCCACCCCCGGCCGCCGGGCGAGCTCCGGGTACGCAGTCCTCCTTTCCCTTCCCTTTCTTCTCCCTCCCTCTCCCGCCCTGGACGGCGTCAGATCCCTGAGGTCCCATTCCCAAAGGGGTACCCCTGGCACCACGTCTCACTCCTCCTCTGTCCACGGCCTCAGCGGACGCTCTGGATCGCACCCCATCCTTTCTCCAGCCTTCTTCCCTGGCGCACCACCCCCCACCAAATAAAAAGCAGCTGAAGCACCTTTCTCTGATGAAGCACATCCCTGCAGACGCCCCCCTCCTTACCTTCTCCCTGTTTCCCCCACTTGACAGTATCCTGCTTATTTCCAGAGAAGCTGGAAATAGAAGGGGGAGGGTTCCCTCCTGTAAAGTTTGGGGAACGGACCTTCTCCGGCCTTCCCAGTCCGAGGGACCTCGAGGCTCCTCCCGGGGACTAGAGCCGGGCAGACCCGCAGGGCGCGGCAGAACCTTCTTGCCGCTCCCAGTAGGCAGCTGCAAACTGTTGCACTGCGGGGCAGCGAGGCGGCGCGCAAACCTCGGCCGGGGCCGGGGCGAGGGTCGGGGCGGGCGTCGGGGCGGGGGCCGAAGCAATAGCCAGGAGTGCCTGCGCAGGCCACCGAGATTGTCTGCCTCCCTCGCGCCGGGCCGCCCTGTAGCCCAGCCGCCCGGAACCTTTAACCGCACCGCTTCTCGTACCTGGGGCCTCCAGCTGGCTGCAGGGAAGGAGCCCCTGCCGCGCGGCTGCGGTGGCGGCTGCAGAAAGCGCGGAGTGAAGGGACTAGAGACCAAGCCGCGCTGCCGCTACTGCCTCTGCCGCCGCCGCCGCTGCTTCAGGGAGCTCAGCTCACAGCCTATTGCCAGAGAGGCCGGTGACGTCAGGCAGCCACCGCCAGGGTTCCAAGCCACCCCTCAGGCCCCCACTCCACCCTTACACCCCAACACCTTGTCCTGGCAGAGCGACGCCCTTGGACACACACGTTCCCAGTTCCCTGCTCAGGGGCTACCCCCCCCCCACCTCCACCCGGTGAGCAACCCACCTTCACACTCCCATGCCTAGGAAGGATCGAAGCTTCACTCCTCCAGCTGCGTGATTCCTACCCTGGACCCTTTCCCAGATAGTTTCAGGAACCCATTTTTACACCCTGTAGACTCATCTTCCTTTGGGGCTCTGAGCAGATTTTCTCCCATGGCTGATGAGGATAGCCCCCTCCCCAAACACTGTCTATGCTGCCCCTGGTTCTGAGTATAAACTGCATGTGTGAGAGACGATTGGGGCATTTCTGAACACAAGTGGGGCAGAATCTGAAATACAAACCTGAACAGGTAGTTAGTATCAACCATCCAAAGTAATAATTTTCATTTTCCTCACCACCGAGTCTCCAACTTATCCTTCACTCCACTTGACTCATGATCCTCCTCTCCTCTCTCCCACTCTTCATCTCCAGGCCCCAAACCTATTCAATATATGCATTAAACACCCCTCTTCTTCTATTTATTTATCTATATACTCAGGAGCACACAAAGGAGACACAGGCTTAGAAGGCAGGAAAATGAAAATCATTCTGAGGAGTCCAGAAATGAACTGCCCGATGAGAAATTCTGTGTATCGTGCCTCTTACGAACCAAAAAAACCAAACCCGTTGCTGTTAAGTCAATTTTGACTCATGGTGACCCTACCCCATAGGGTCTCATAACAACCCTGTAAGACAGACAGGACTGCCCCATAGGGTTTCCAAAGCTGTAAATCTTTACAGAAGTAGATTGCCATAGATGGCCACGTCTTTGTCCGGAGGAGCAGCTGGTGGTTTTTAACCTCCAACGTCTCAGCAGCCAAGTGCTTAACCACTGTGCCATCGGGGCTCCTGTGCCTCTTACATAGAACCCCTTTACTGGCCCTAATGCTTATTGAAGTGCTTGGTGCTTATGTTGTAGTATTAATAACAGCCTTTCTGCACAATAGATAAAACTTCCCGAAGGATTCTCAACAGCCTGCCAAAATCTGGACAGAGACTAGTCAACTATTAGTTTGGGACCTTTGGAAAAATACCTGAATGAGGCCTTTAGTTACATTAGCCAGCTTCAAAATGGGGTATGCTGACTTTTCTACTGGCAAACCAGCTTGGAACAACACTGAAAGATATTGTGTGGTCTTTGAAGGCACTTGGGTGTCTTATTAAGTGTGCATTTTATTTTCTGTCTTATTTTTCTCCCTATCTTTGAGTCCAGAACAGTGCCTGCACAATACTTACTTGCTAAATTAAATGATGCAGTATATTGCTGATTTTTCCTGTTATGCATCAGAAGTGAGAGCTAGCAGGAATGGCTGAGGCTCACCTATCTGCCTTTATTTGCTGTACTCATAAAGAAAGAGGGTTTGACATGGGGAGAAAAAGGTTGTCTGTCTATAATTTGGGGTCCCTTCTTCTGGCCATATGTTCCTCTCTAGTCCTACTCCAGCTGCTGCTTCTCTCTCTTTTTTTTTTTTTTTCTCTCCTTACACATGACTTATATTTGGAGGAAGAAATGCATCATATCTCCCCCAAATTCTGTTTTCCTTAATTTGAATTAAGGCTGTCAGCTCTTTCTTCATAATTATCTCAATAAAATAGTATTTCTATTTAAGCTAATAATCAGTATGTAGTGAATAATACATGATTGATTCAGAGCATGGATTGATGCCGTTGACTGCCAGAGTTACATAGTTAATTATAGACAATGACCCCAATGCTGGCTTGGCGTTCCTGCCTGGATTGAGGACCACCTGATGCCCTGGCAAAGCCACATTTGGACATTGACTTTGGTGGGCTCGGGATGAACGGTGAGCCTTGGTTTCACTGCCATCACAAAGTGAGACGTCATCATTCACACCTGACAGGCAATGCCTCATTTTTTGCACACTGTCTTTGCTCATGAAAAGTTGAGTCTAATCAACATTTTGTGAAGCAAATCCAATTTTGAATACTCCAAAAAGAGATCTGGCTATTTAAAGAGACTGTTTAGCAAAAACTGTCTTGTAAAGCAAAGAATCTTTACATAATTAGAATTAACTCTCACTGATCTGTCTGTTGTCTAGATTCGGAAGAATGAGTTATCAGGTTTTCCCAATGAGGAACATACCTTTACGACTGGTTGTAATGGGATTACAATATATATGTAATGGGATTCCTCTTGCACATCAAGCTTCTCGGATAGGGGATGGGGCTGCCATTGTTCGTATTCTTTTGTTATAAATGATAACCATCTGTTATACCAGCAGTGCTAAAATGTCTGCACCATTTTACACAACCTATGAAAAGATGAGGTCTTGCTCTGGAGAATTTAGGATCTACAGCAGATGAATTTGATTCACAAGACAATGGCATTTAACTAGAAATGATTAAAGATATAAATTTTCAGGTCAAAAGCCCAACACTTTTTTTCCCTTTCTCTTTCAAGAAGAAGGGACTGTGGGTTCATGATTTTTTCTTATCCAGAGGATAAAATGTGCTAAATACACAGATTTGGATGTGACTGAGTAGTGTGATTCAAACTCAAGAAATAGCAGTGATGGAAAATATGCACATCTTGGGCCACAGGAATAGATTCCACTGAGTTGCTGTAGTGTCTTGGCATAAATGGCAAAATCAAGGCTTCTTCCAGACAACAAGTTGCCACTTTTTTTGCCTCCAAACTTCTCAAGCCACACTCTTAAGAGTAGAAAATAACATCTGCTATTCTCAGGATCTTCCCTTGTGGTGGGAAAACCTCTCTGGACTTGGGAAGGTTCCAAATATTCAGCAACATATAAAACTTGCTCTCAAGTTTAATGAGGGATCTCCATTTAGCTTAGAGAGAAGTGCTACATGGCTACCTGGTACATCAATCCAAAGAAGCACTGATCTATAATAATTATAATGGGGATAATAATAATACTATATTATTATTACAAATTATTATTATTATTAGCAAAACACCTACTATGTGCCACATTGTACTAAGCTCTATATTAGCATTAATCCTCACTACACTCCTTTAAGATTATTAAATGATTTAAATCATGTATTTATTCATTTATTCATTCAGTTATTTGCTCAGCAAAAATCTTTGAGTAACTACTGTATGTCAGATAAGAAAACTAAAACTCAGAGTGTTTAAAGAGCATGCCCAAGTCCTGCGATTGTAAGTGTATTACTGAGGTTAAACCTAGGCAAACGGATTCCAAACTTAGTATTCTTTCATGACTAGTGGTGGGTTTCTCTCTCTCTCACACACATACACACACACACACACACACATACATGCTTCTAGAGCATACTTTATATCTCTCTTCAGATCCGTAACTCTTCATTCAAATGCAAA